CAAAAAATAAATGTTAATTTATGTATATGGGCTACAGCAATTTTACAGCACATGCAAAGGGGGGGGGGTATTTGCCTGAAGTGAAAAAGAGTATGTTATCAAAGTGTACAATATTTGTAAGGCATTAAAGTTACTGAATCTGGTTGAAGAAGTTGTAATCTTGTGCAGGCTACATAATTTATTTTATAAGCTCTCAAGTTTCCAGGGCTCAGTTATCCATCCTTGGTGGGATAGCTAATGGACTTCAATATATATATATAGCTAATGGACTTCAATATATATATATATAGCTATATGGACTTCAATATATATATATAGCTAATGGACTTCAATATATATATATATATATATATATATATATATATATATATATATATATATAGCTTGTATGCATAAAACATAGATGCTATTTAATAGAAGTGCTATTTAGATGTCTATGGCTCAGTGCAGTCCTTGAATTTAGTAACAGCTTACCTTAAAAATCTGTCAGATTAATAACCACAATGGTTTTAATCTTCAGATTAATATAATATGTGTTTAATGTCTACAGTTTATAATCTACATTGAATATAAACAAAATATGATGGTGCAAGACTATGACTTCCTTGATAGGAGCTCAACCGGTTTAAGATTAAACTGGTGCGCTGTTGATGGGTGATTGAGTGTGTGCTATACAAATTTCCTACTTTTTATTTATTAAATTTATTGTAAAAAAAAAATGTTGACATAAATTTATTTTGAACTCCCTTTCCTATGTCAACAATTGTCAAATTTCTTTGAACCCCTTCCAAATTTTGTTGACATTATTAATGGATGACCTCTTAAGTATGTCAGGTCAGAGAGTGCTAGACCTTGAGACAGCATATCCACCTGTCAACATGGATACCTCACAAACTGTAAGCTTTGCACAACTTAGGGCAGTCAGTAATAGTAAGCTGTCTATAACTAGTGGAAAAATAAACAGAAATGTCAACATTTGTGGACAACAAAAAAATGTGAATTTGCAAACTGAATACCCCAATGCTAGCATAAATAACTCAGAAGAAGTAAGTTATTGACAACTTAACATGGTCAATAATAACAAGCTGTCAATAACTGGTGATGGCTGGAAATTTATATATGGGTTGTAAATTAATATTTAATACTCAGCTTGATAACAGCATGGACCAATAATGATTTTATAACAAATGTCAAGTTTGTCATGGACAATTTTGTGATAAAATCTGGTGGCACTGTGGTGGTAAATCTGAATACAGGATCAAGCAAGATTACAACTACCGCAATTCAATCAGTAACATCAGATTTAATAACTAAAAATTTTGCTGATGATATGATAGCAGGAAATATTACATCACAAGTATCAAAATTCAGTGATACGATGACAGGTATGTTAAATATGAGTTCACATAAAATAACGATTTATAATCGTCACCCCATTTGATCTTAGAAGTAAACTGTATGTGAACGCTGAGATAAGTGCAGCATTAGCAAGTATAATTACTGTTGCAGTTGCCAATTATCTTAAAAACAATCAAGAGGTACAGGTACAGGTGTTATCGATATTACTACTAACAAGATAACTTCTATGTATGTACCCATATCTGAATTTAATTTTGTCAATAAACAGTATGTGGATATTGTTACCCAACTGCTTGCGATTGGAGGTAGTACAAAATGGGTTGAAAATAGAATGGTCATATTCCGCATCTCGATAAATGCTATAAATAATCGTTGGGGTTGATGCAAGTGCATCAAGTTATTATTCAGAAATAAACCAGAATATGTGCCTGTGTTTAACAACCCTCTATCTGACAAGTTAGAGTGGATCTCAAACATAGAAATATCTAGATTTTGGATCAAAATACAATGACTAGTAGCTGCTGCAATATGGAAATTTCAACTATGAAGTTGATCAAATGTTGGTGTCACACAAACTTATAACTGGCAATTAGAATGATGGAATGATGATTCGGAATGGACTGTGCTGTATAAGGCATCAAAATGTTTATGCTTCTCAGCAATTTGCACTTGATCCTGCAGTTACTGTAAACAATTACTTTTTTATTATTTCGACTTTATTTAAAGAGGGTAACTCAATTAGCCAAGAACTAATCTACCTTGAGGCCCTCATTCAAAGGAATTTACTTATTTTTGCTGCATTTCTGAAGCCACTGCATTTTTTCAGTATTTGTTTCCAGAGTAGAAGTTCATTACCCAGGTTTGATATGTTTCAGATATATACACTCAATGATAGAGTATAGGTCATGCATACTAACACACTGTCATTTAATGTAATTGTAATATTTAATGTATTTTGCTCCTCCACTGATCAAGGTTGCAAAAATGTTTTATAATTTTATACTAATCCCAAAAACTGAGATCAGAATATCTGATGTTGATCAGCTAGACCCAGAGAGTGTTGCAGAAGCAAAAGTTGTGAATATTATTTGCTTGAATGAAAAAAACAAAAAACTTTAGGTTCACTTGGTTTAACTGAAAAAAGTGACGACTTTGCTAGTTTCAGGAATGAGAATCTTCAACTGAGATACATGATCAGAGACTTTGATATAATTGACAAATGCTGTCCTGTAAGTGAGTGCAAGGAACGGTGATTAAAGATTGAAAAGTTTTTTTATCAGTTCACTGATTGACCTAACTAAAGAAAATGTTTTGATGAATGACTGATCTAAGTTTAAAAAAAACAAAATTTCATGATGAGATGAAACCAGTGCAAGATGAGCACGACAAACTAGCTGAAACAAGGAAACACAAGTTTCTTAAAAAGCATAAGCTCAAAAACACATTTACAAAACATCGAGTATTTCGTTTGCTAGGTATGGACTATTATGATAAATAGATGCCGTTAGAAATAGTCAAAAATAGTACTGATACCAACCTGCTAACAACAGCATATCTACTTCTAACAGATTCTCTCACCGGCGATAAAAAAGTATGATGCATATCACATTAATGCTGCACTAAATGCAGTATAATATTAAATGAAACAGGATACCAAGATTTTGACAACTTACAAATTGTCCGTCTTATGTAATTAAACCCACATTTTGATGAATCTATGAATTCCTTTACAGGTCACAAACCAGAATAGAAACAGTCCAGAGTGATCCGGTTCACAAGATTCCATATTACGTTAATTTCTTAAATCTAAATAATAAAAGTAAAGTTCAGCTTTATGTGATTCACAGTATGCAATAAAATCATTAATGACTGTACTTTGTATCGATGATGACTGTCCTGTCTCTCTGATGACTGTCATCTGTCTCAATGATGACTTCCTGTCTCACTGATGACGGTCCTGTCTCTCTGATGACTGTCATCTGTCTCATTGATGACTGTCCTAAGTCTCACTGATGACTCTCCTGTCTAAATGATGACTGTCATCTGTCTCACTGATGACTGTCCTGTCTCTCTGAAGACTGATCTGTCTCACTAATGACTGTCCTATTTTAACACCTAAGATATCGTCCTGATCATGTTACTCACAAAATAAAGTTTTCAAATCATCCATCATCATCTAGTCATCATAAACATCATTAAACTCAGATTATATGTCTTTAAAGTCATTTGCAAGTTCTGATGTGCAGTCTGCACTTGAACTCTGCAAATGAAACTTTAACCATACAGTCTATGAAATCCAAAAAATGATATGCCACAAATGAACAGGTGCCAATTGTGTAACACGATAAAAAGGGAGTAACTATAAGCACCCTCTGTTAAATGAACATACAACTCTACTCAACACTGACTAAATATCAAACATTAGTAGCTGAATCACCAGTTTGTCATCTGAGAAAATAAAATGGCACTGCCTTATTAAGGTCAGACATCCACAGGGATCCTACTAGACACTAAAAACGTCAAATTACATTTGCAGTTCAATCAAAGGATTGTGAACTGGGGAAATAAAGTGGATGCTGGTTTTACAAGTTAAGGGCTTACTGGCCCACATGTATTAGTAGACAACTTAGGAAATATAACTTGGGAATTATATCTGGCTTATGTAAAAGGCAAATATAAATCAAATAAAAAATTTTATTGCATAAAACAGTGTTTATACAGCAAAACAGAAAATATAATACAAATATAGGTTGTTCAGACTTAAAAACAGAAGCAATATACTTACTAGTAATACAGATAGTAAACATTCATGGACACTTTACTTTGCAGCAAGTAATATTTTATTCAACATTGTCAAATAAACAAATGCTGATACAGGTATTGTTCAATGAATACTGTAATGAAACATATGCACAGTGCATACCATATATGCATTTATGTATGGGAATAGTGGTATGGAAACAAAATATTTTAATTGAAAATACAATAAAACCGGTCTTGAGAGACCACTGCTATGAGAGACCACCTGTCCTGAGAGCCCAGGTTCTTCATGTACAGAATTATTGATTATATAGTATTTTTACCTGTTATGATAGACCACCTGTCATGAGAGTCCATTATGTTTTGGCAAAAGGGGTGGTCTTTCAAGACAGGTTCCACTGTTCTTCATACATATGACAAATATTAATATTCTCCAATATTATCCCTAGATTTATCAATTGTTTTATATATTGCATCAGTAATATGACCTGGCATGAATAAAAGTTTCAGTAAATGCTGTTGACTTGTAAGCAAACATAGACAGAACTTGTCACTTAGAATTATTCATTTGGTTTGATTGTTACTTATGTCACAAAGCAGAATTACTCAGTTCCATTGCTTTATTACAGCATATTTACAAACTTGGCTTGGTTGTTACTTGTGTCATATAGTATATTTATAAACTTGGTTTAACTGTTACTCATTTCACACTGTATAATTACAAACTCTGTTTTATTGTTATTTCTGTCACATATATTGATTAATAAATTTGGTTTGATTGTAACTAATGGCACATGGTTGGATTGGAACTCAACAATAAACAAAACTAAGCCTAAAGTTTATTGTAGAAATAAACATGGTCTTTTCTCACTTATCCAAATGACCTCACTGATGACCTAGTGGTTTTACCATCTGCCTCAGATGCAGAAGGTTGCAGGTTCGAACACCTGCAAAGTCATGTCAAAGACTAAAAAAAATGGTGCTAGAAGCTGCCTCTCTTGGTGCTCAGTATTAAGAGGTTAGTGTTAGAACTGGTTGGCCTGTGTGTCAGGATAATGTGACTGGGTGGGACATCATGCTACATATCTGTGGCATGATGCCCCAGAGCGAGACATCACAATAAACTGTCACAATGCCGACATCATAGGAATATGACTGAAATTTTTTAAAAGCGATGTTAAAAACACACACATAGACATGGCCAAATAATGTACAGCACTTACATACCAGTCATTCTCATAGATATCCTGAGTGGTTGTGTAATTTCCTAAAGTAGGGGATATTTATTATAAGGAGGCTTCTATTACAATAAATATGACATGTATTATATTCTATAAGGAAAAAAACATAGAACCAGGTTTGCCTTAACACAATGTATTTGCAGATCAGAATCTACTCTTTGCTGTGCATCAAGAGTAGCTATGCAACAGTGAAGACATTAACATATTATAAAATAACTTTGTTTCATTGAAAAAATGTACAACTGATTTAAGACAAACATTTTTACCTGAGTCTGAAAAACAAGATAAACTCTTTTTAAATATTTCCACAAAATACTTTTGAAATTAGCAAAAGATTGTAATCATTTTATGTCACCAACATAGGCTTGTTATAACAACCATTTTTTACCTGAGTCGATAAAGTTCTGAATGGACTGGACTTCCCATTTTGCTAAAAATCAATGAAGGCATAGAACACTTCAAAATGCTATAATACTGAAAGCTTTTTTTGCGATATATAGCTAACTGCATGAACTATTTTACAAAAGGGCAAGTTATCTTAAATATCTTTTATTTTGATTTGATAATTTTGCCACAAAATTTCAGACAAACTGAATGTCAAAATTTCTGATATGATATACAGTGGGAATCTTTGAATTTGTAAAGTCTATCTTTATGATGAGCTGCTATGAAAATTTACATTTACATCACAATTTTATCAAATTTTTCATAAGTGTGTTGGAAAAGAATACCTGTACTGGGTTTTCTGATTTACTAACATCTACTTTGGTTATGCTGTCCAAAATACCTAATTGACTTTGCTAATGCAATGCTGATTATGCATGGTTACATAATCAATCTTTGGAAAAGTGATGAATATTTTTATGTTCTATTTAATTGGTGATTAACTGATTAAAAATTGATTATTTCTGATGCTTTAATGCTCATGTTGCAAACACAGCTTGTCAAAAGTCCCATTATTCAAAGATGTTGCGGAATTTTCCTATATGCTAGCAAAATATGATGGATGTGGTACACTTTGGCTGGCAAACTTACTGTTTAAGAAGACATGTAGCACACAGATAGGTCCAACTGAGCAGCACATAGAAAAGTTCCTTTTAAATTTGATTTGTACCTTTATTGTCTGAATTTTTGTTACTTCAATCTTCAGGATTTTCTTTTTAAACATAAATGATACCCTGGGAAGGCAGTTTTTAAAAAAAAAATATATGCCAGAACACTTTGATTTCACAAAGTTAATAGTAAAATGATAAGACAATTCTAAACTGCATATATGGGTGGGTACCCCAATTTAAAAGTGCCTTTCTTGGGTCCCATGCATTTTTTAATGGAACAGTTCTTAGAGGACTATATGAAATGGCAGCATTTATTATTGATTTTTGGCATATCCCTGAACTTTAGGATGGACTCAATTTTGCATAAATAATGCAGACACAAATGTACAATGCCTTTAAAGTTGTTGTTGGTTTAACACCATTTTGGCTGTACAAGGCATCCAGTATAATGGATGGAGGAAAAACATGGGAAAACCCCATGAAGAACCATTAATCCAACAGGAAATTAGCAATCCTTCTCACATACCTGAGACTTGAACCCAAGCTGAGAGAGGTGAGATGTCAGTGAGCTATAAAGGCAATTGCTTTTGAGCACTCTGCATCTGGGGCTCCAGATGACACTTTTAATTCCTCCCAAAATAATATGAAAAAGTTCAGCATTCATTACATTAAAAATAAAAGTTCCTTCTTGTAGGCTGACTTACTGATATATATATATATATATATATTTTGCACATCCATTTAGCTTGCTTTAGCTAACAAACCAGTCATAAGCAGATTAACCACTTTATACAATCAAAAAGGTGCCAAAATTCAAATGTCATGTTACAAAATGTATCATAAATTATCAAAATGATCCTGAAATTGTGAGGATATATACAAGAACCGCTCTGGTGGCTTAGTGGTTAGAGCTTCCACCTTAGATGCGGGAGATCATGGGTTTGATCCCCAGTTGAGTCATACAAAAGTCTTACAAAACTGGTACCAACAGCTGCCTCACTAGACGCTCATCATTAAGAGGTGAGTGTTAGGACTGGTCGGGCTGGTGTCAGGATATGACTGGGTGGGACATCATGCTTTATGTATGCGTCATAATGCCCCAGTGCTAGACATCACTATAAATTGCCACAATGCAGACATCATAACGATATGATTGAAAAGTTATTAAAACTACATTAAAATCATAATCACATCACATTATGGGGATAACGAATTATATTTTATCATTTTTGAAAAAAGGAATAATTATTATTTTCAAAACAATGACTGATTACTCATAATCATCGATACATCTTAACTTGCAGGTGTGACTATTAATTGGGGCACATCTTGGGATACTCAAGAATTCATAGGCATGAAAATTTTGGACAAAATTTAAATGCAATGCATTTATTATGTCCTAGATCCCCATCACAAATTCCCTAGCAATGGTAGTGTTGATATACATTGGTAAATCTGAAAGCACACAATACAGTCATATAATAAACTGATACAGTTTGATTTGATGTTGTAGAATTAGATATTAATATTAATAAAAACATCATGAAAATGGACATTGACTGTAAATATTTATCAAATATATAACAAAAATCTGTGGGTGAAAACAATATTTCTGACAGCAAAGCAATTTTTAATAGAAGTATTCTATGCCTATCATGGATATTATGGGACTTAACCTGTTACCGCAAACATGTCTTCACTAAATATGTTACTTTTAAACAAATAAAATGCTTTATGGTGTACTGATAAGAAGATGCAATATACATGCTTAAAACAATTCCTTTAAGTGCACAACAATTATTACAACCAATAACACAAGTCCAAAGAAGGGATTGATGCTCTCTACTGGGTGAAAGGAATTTCCTGGAATTCAAGTTAAGAACATTTTTTCCTTTCACTTCTTAGTGTTGAAATCATTATATTTCTCAGCAATAACAAGATTTTTAAATTAGCTGCCATGGCAGCATTAATGGATAAGGATTGGTACCATTTTCATTTAGAACCAACTAGACATCGTTAAATATGTTTGTAAAAACTCAATTTGAAAATGACGATCATTAGCAAAAACAAGTTTGTCAAGATGGCTGTAATTATAGCCATACTAGATGTCAGATCAGCACCATTTTTATATAGGACCAACATTATAAGAACTTTTTAGTGAAAACCCAATGTCAATAATACCATCAAGCTAGGAGTAGCAATAAGCAGATTTTCAAAATGGCCACCATGGCACTCATATTGGAGGTCGTATTGGCACCATTTGAATTTGGAAACAACCAAATATCATAAGCCTTCATGCGAAAATTCCATGTCAATATAACTTTCTGTTGATCAGAAATAACATGATTTTCATGACAGCAACTGTAAAGGCCATACTGTACACTAGATTGACACTGTTTTCACTCAAGATATCACAAGTCATTTAGTGAAAACTCAATGTCAACATAAACACCCATCTAGGAGGAGTGCAATAATGATTTTTAAGATGTCAATGTCAATATTAAAATGACTTTCCCTTTTCAGATTTTCAAGATGTGTGATGTAGTGACCCGACTGGATATATGACCAGCTCCATTAAGGAGCAGCTAGCCATAAGATGAATGTATGTATAGTTTTAAGGTGATCCTCCAATTAGTTCAGGGGGAGTAGCAACAGTAAATTGAGTTAGTGTAGAGACAGAAGAAGGATCATGAACAATGGACAACAGACCATTCCATAAGCTGTTCTAGTCTATGATCATTAGAGCTAAAAATCAAGCATATTAATCTAGCTTACAGTCCAAAAGAACTATTATATCACAACAAAACATGTGGAACACATTAATGTATTATCTTTGTGAGTGAATTCCTTAATATCAATTGTTTGCAAATTTATCATCATATATACACAAATGAACATATGCTTTGTTGAAATTAATTGAACTTATATATTAAAAGCACAATTAATGAACAGCCTGGCTCCTCTTATGTTAATGCCAATAATTATTCTTTTTTTTTCCTTTCTAAGTGAAGTATTATTGTATGAAGGAAAAATTTGTCACAGTATGAGATTATTAAAAAAAAAAGGTGATGGTATCAGACATTCTCTAGCACAAATTATATCAGTTTCAAGCAAGCAAGAAGTACAAAAATTAAAACCCCATTCTTAAACAAAATCACCAATTATTTTGTCTATGAAAAATGTCTGAACGGAGTCACTGAATAATATCTAAAATGATTAGTCTTTCTAACTCTGCAGCAGTATGGTAAACTAACGGCTGATGATAAAAACAGTTTTCACTTGGCAACTTTTACAAATTCATCTTAGCATAATCTCACCATCCTTCATTTTATTCATTAGGAACTTTCACCATAAACAAAATGTTATTCCTCTGTCATAAATTTGTAATAATGTGAGCCACTCTTGTTCATTAGCTAAAGCATTGGAATTATCATGATGAAAAGGGCACATGTTCAGTTTCTACCACTGGATCAGCCCAGATGGGTTAGTGTGGTTTGTCTTTGGGCAAAGCATGTTAATAGCCTCCACAATGATAAAACCTTCAAAGTGTTGCTGAGTCATAAAACATCAAAAACCAAAACTTATCTCATTTTCTGTGATCCACCAATTGACTTAAATAAAGTTTCAGATTCATCTACTGGTAACCCCAAATGAATCTTCCTCTTGGCACCTATTCTTGGTGTACATCAACATTCCCTCTCTTTTAATTACTCATGTGAAGAATTTTTTTAAAAGTATAATAAGCATACAAATTCATTGAACAATATGCTATTATTTAAATTAAATGCAAAATTCACTTACAGTGAAAAACCCCAAAATATATCTTTTCCAAAAATGTACATAAAACATGTTAAAAAATACATTCATTAAATTGACAAAGTCTACCTGTTGCTCTTCACAGCTCATACTTATTTAGTAATACAGCAGCTATACCTCTTATCTGATATCATCTTGAACTACGTTATCTATCGCCATTTACTAAAAGTTGAAATTGTTTCGATAGAAATATACTCTGTCTGACACAATCACAATGTCTAAATGCAGGACAGAAATTGACATAGATGGACATGGTGTTCATATGAAATAGTTTGTTTGAAAATGTCACAGATAGAAACTACTGACATTGATAGACATAGTGTTCAGATAGAATAGCCTTTTTCAGCCTGTTGCCACTGAAAGAAACTAACAGATGATACTAAAGAATATTAATAGCTTCTGAGACATCTGGATAAAATTGATAAATTATGATTTAAGTTTTTTTGTATAAATAATACTTTTTTAGTGTTCTTTCACAAATTAGGAGATCTTAACAGTTAATATCTCTTGATGTAAACAAATCATATCAACTGCTTGCCAAGGTAATGTAAATATTCTCCTCAGTGTCTCGACATAACCTTTATTTTCTTTACTCACTGTACTGTGATTTTTATTTTATGTTGTTCACTTTACTGTGATTCTACCTACAGTTACAATTATCATAACTTGAATTTTCAAATTTCACTCCTTTGGTATGTTAAGCTATTTATTCCATCCAGAATAAGGCACAAGAAACCAGACTAAATACAGGCCTTACAAAAATACATAATCAATATCATTACCTTATATACTATCTTATTTGCAATGGCTCTGTACATCATCCTTTCTACAAACAATTAATGACACTAGATTTTTGTTATTAAATGATGTAATATTTTTATAGTATCCACTTTAGAAACATAGAAATGGATTGTACATGCAATAATATAGCCTTATTGAAGCACTCAAAACTTCATTCCTCTCCTGGCTGCAATTGGACACTAATATTTATGATGCCAAAGCATTTGGCAACACATTTTGTATTGATATTGAATAATTCTTCTGCAAGAAAAATATGATACATGATTATTACATTAAAATGTGCAAGATCCATTTAAACATCCACTGGATGTAATTATATCATGACATTATTGTGTTACAAAGATAAAGGGCAAAATGACATCAAAATACAGAGTTCCTGCACACTTGAAAAAAAAAATTCCATGACTTTTCCATGGCCTTTTAAAAAAATTCAAAGACCACAATACCACTATTTATCAATCATAATTGTGTCTTGTTCAAAACAAGAGTTTTTAGTCCATGCTCGGTGCTCATTGAAATTAGCAATTATCAATATCTAGACCTCCAGTGTCAAAAATTCCATTACTGTTCCAAAACTATTAAGCCCCCACCCCTTGATAATAATAGCATATATTACCTAGAAATTTAGGATTTATATGTATTCATCTAACTTTAATGACAACAAGCAAATTTTTTTTTAAAGACCTGTCTTTATCAAACCCTCTTAACATTATGCTCAGAATCATACTTTAAAGCCAAGTTAACAAGAAAGTAACTCATTCCAAGTATATTTTTAAAACATTATGGTACAAAAACTGTGATTCTGTATTTCCAGGGTTTTTGGTCTAGGCTTGAGTTTTGACGATTCTTAATGTTTAACTTTCAGTTCAGACTCTGGATACTGAATTAGTACAACTTATACCAAACTTGAATTCATTCAACCTCAAACAGAATTCAATCAACCACAAACAGAATAATACATTTTCAGTCCAGATGCAGATTCTCTTTGTGCAATCCAAGCTAGGTTCTATATCCTTAATTCTTTGTTTAAAAATGTTAAGTCTGTTTCAAGTTCCTAAAATTACGCATTTTTCACACGAGTTTAAATTGGAATGATCACCTTTAAACATTTTCTCAACACTGGTATCATTTTTACTTCTTGTAATTTTCAAAAACACAGTAATATTCTTCCATAAGAAATCTCTTTCTCATTTTTACACAAATTTGGTAAACTTTTAATTAAGAAAGCTTGCTTCATTATCAAGCCCATACCCACTTTGAAATACAAAATAACAAGGGCAGCCTCCAGGGTTTATCAAGGAAAAATATCACAGTTATTCAGTTATTAGGGCATTCATCTATCT